TGAAATGTGCATATGTTTAGTGGTGTTCGTATTTTATTGCAATGTTTATTTTTTTACACGAAATAGCTGTTGGCAGTGACGTCATTCTCACTGTTCGCAGTATGGAATGTTGTGGTAGAGTGACGTTGAAATATTTACAATATTTTTTATTCTAACACCTGTTGGCAGCGTTGCCATATATACCATTGGTATTTATACCGATTTTCGAACTTGATACCGATATACATACAGATAAGGTTCCTCAGAATACCGTTTTTTTTTTTAAATCAACGTTATATCAAAATGATAATTGTCTACCTTCGCTCAAATGTCAGAGAAAATTGCAGTGAAAGCTTTGAGTGTGTTGGTTTATTTCCTTTAAGTTCCGTTATAATTGCTTATCTTTTGACAGATACGCGTATTTCGTCTACTACTTGCAACGGCCCTTCCTTTTCGAAGAAAGGCGTGATAAGAGATGTTATGCCTTAGAACATCCCGGCGGCGCCGACTGGGATTGAACCCAGGCCTGCTGGGGTGAGAGGTAATCACGCTTACCACTACACCAAATTAATTAAAATAGTAAATATCGATAAATACCGATTTATTATAATCATTGATACCGATAAGCTTGAAAACAATCTGACAACACTACCTGTTGGCTCGGATCTTATATAAACGTCATTGGGTTCGGATGACGGCTAGCGTTTTTTTTAACAAGCCTGATTTGGCACTTTATTTTTCTCTTGTGGCGGTTCGAATAAATCTAAATATATCTAAGTAGCATATCTAAATAAATCTATGCAACATTTGAAAAGAACGGAATAGCCAAAATGTAAACAAACCATATTTGACCCCGTATAGGGAAAACAGTTCACAAACTACTCAATAAACACGTTAGTCTAGATTTGAAAAGAGCATAAATCCAAATTTAACATATCGAGAAAACCGCTTCCGAATTTGGATGACCAAAAAATTAATCCCTTTTCACGGCTTCCCATTTTTTGGGTGATTTTATTAGCTTGACATATAGTGAATAGTGAAATCGAGCACTAAAAACTCCAAAAACTCTAAAAACATCATACGCCCTGATCGTTTCTTACACATTGTTACACCTCAATCTTCCACCCTTTGAACTGTCAACACTGATGATACGCTGAAAAACCCTCGGGATTTTGTGTTTGTTGTTCCGCCTTGGTTCTTCGTTCGCAACTTTTGTGAGAGTGGACGGAGATTTTTGGTCTTCTTTTTGTTCGTTGTTTACACGTCAAATATCAATCGGATTCATTTCAAATAAATCGGGTGTGACTATATGCTACAGAATAAGTGCGTTTTGCATATTAAAACATTATAATTCGTAGTTTTGATGCAAGGCGTAACAACTCGATGTATTATAGAGTTGAAAATTGGAAATACGCCATGTAAAAAGAAGCATTTTTGATCATCTGAAATGATCTTTTCGTCGTTTTCGTCTACTTTTTCGTGTTTATTGAGTAGTTTGTGAACTCTCGCGTCACTTTTCAAATAGACCAATGTAACAAATGTAAACAAATTGAATTAGTCGATACAAACTTTTCCTCTTCTATCATTGTATGTGATACAAAAACATCCATCCAAATTTACTTTCATTTATTTACAATAATCATTGATCAAAAATTGTCCAATGTACAGTTTGAAATGATGGGTATATGATTGTTACTTCGGTCATTCGGAGTGCCTAACATGATTGGTGCTCATTTTCCAAAGGCGGGGCCAATCTAAATTAGGCACTATACTCTGAAATCTGTGAAAGGGAATCTAGTATCATGTAGACAAAACGTTCAATGTAACACTCATTGATTATGTCAGTGAGAAAAATCGTCCAATGTAACATGTCCGATGTACAACTCGACTTGTGAAAACGTCCTATGTGGTTTTTTTCTATGTTGTAGCATGAAATTCAAAGTAAAATTGTGATTTTACCGTTTCTCTGAATTTTCAACGTTATTATATACTGACTACATTAAAAATAGTATTGCAAAATGTATTGTTTTTAAACAGTTAAAATAATAATCTGTCGAACTTCAACTTCAATTTTCTCAAAATGGTGGATATATTACATTGGTCTATTTGAAAAGTGACGCGAGAACTGTTCTCTCTATATGTGGCAAAATCAATGCATTAGGTCCTAAGTAACATTTACAGATACTCTTCTTCGACTTTCTCTTTGCATCCTAACGGCCATGTTAATACATTCCCAGCTATTTTCAGCACACCGATCGATGAAAGAAGTTTTTATATAGCTTCTATTACGACAAACACGACAAGTAACGGTTCTGTACCCAAGTTATTAACGAAAGAGATAGTCGATGAAGAGAATAGAGCAATGTTACTTAGGACGTGTCTAGTAGTTTGCAGTTGAAAATAATCGGTTGTTTCTTGCGTTAGAAAGTAATAACTGTAAACTTAGCTGGGCTGACCACCAGTCGGTTTAGACTTAGTCTGCAAATTTGTCAATCTGATTTTGGAGAGAACGGCAGTCGGCGAGTGAGCGGATCCGCAGAAAAACTTTCAGATCGTCTGCAAACGATAATCGTGGCCCAATAGACATGGTGAACGTCGTTGAAGTAAAGGAGAAATACCAATGGTCCCAGATGGCTACCCTGAGCTTTACCGGACTTTGCGTAGAAGATTACTGTCAATTGGCGCTCCGTGAGGTATGAACGAAACCATCTCAAAAGATTTCCACCGATCCCTAGCCTTTCAAGCTTGATGTAAGACGTTAGGCACAGCAGGCTCGTAGTTGTGGAACGCGGATATATACTTAGATATTGCTTGCAATGCGCATTTAGGGACCCTCAACAACCAATTCAAAAAGTTTTGATTCAGCATTCAGCGACGTGATTCCTCGGTAGTTGTTTACGTCGCGTTTGCTTCCCTTTTTATTAACAGGAAACATATCCGCAGACTTCCAGCCAGACGGAAAGATGCCGCTGGAAAGAGAGAGCTGGAATATGCGGCGCAGTGGATCTATAAGACAAGTGATGTTCTTTTTAAGAATGATCGGCGGAACACCATCGGGTCCAGCCTAAGTTGAAGTCTTAAGTTTAGATGCTGCTCTAAAAATCGTATCTGTAGTGGCTTCGACCATGCTGAGCGTTTGGTTGATCAAAGGAACATTACTGGCCGCGGAAGTAATGATATTAGCGGAGAGTTGCTCGGCTTGAAACACACTAGCAAGTTTGGCTGAGAACAGGCTGCAAATGTCTTGTTGATTTCCAGCAGTTTCACCATTAAAAATCATGGAAGAGGGTAAGCCGATTTCCCTGCGTTGCTCATTTACGAAGTTCCAGAAGGATTTCGGGTGTGATTTTAGCCGCCGTTGAATCCTTCAGCGGCAGTGTGCGGAGTTTAGTAAATCTTCTGAGAGCAGCCTTCTTAGTTCTTTTCAACGAGCGAAGATCTTTCGTCATCCACTGGAAACGTGTCTGTCAATGACATATGCCAAGACGTGAGAAAAGGTTTGTGCAGCAATGTTGGCGTCTACAGGATCTAGAATATGCTCCCAATCTAGGTTAGACTGCACATGGACAATACTGCGATGGTCAGCTCTACGGAAGTCATATGACACAGCGTTTGGAGTGCTGGTGAAATCATAGACAATATTATTTTCGATCACGATAACTAAAGCAGGGTGATGATGCACTTCCTTGACTAAAGGTTCGGGTGCCGTGGAGAGGAAAGGAGCTGAATCACGAGCACTCACAAAGCAGAGATCCAGGGTGCGGTTGTTTTCATTCAACAGACTATTGCGGTACTATAACTGTCCTGATCAGGACAAAAGAAACCACTATGGGTTGGAGTCCATGCAATGTCCGGTAGGTTGAAATTGCCAAGAACAATAACTTCGTCGGAAGGGCCTGCTTTGTCTGAAGCGGCCAAGACGGATCGACAATGTGCGTCCAAGTCACGGGTTCGATCTGGAGGGATGTACACTGCACAGAGAAGCAATTGACGATCCCCAAGTTGAATAGCCACCCACACTTGTTCAACCTTGTTCCAGGAATCGTCCTCGAAAACTTCTGCTTTCAGCTTGGAATTAACTGCGATAAGGACGCCTCCCCCAGTAGTTTTCCTACTATTATTCGTGTTTCGATTGCAGTGAAATATTTCGTAGCCAGCACCAAAGACATAGTTTGAAATGGTTCGATAATTGAGCCATATTTCGGTCAAAACTAAAATTTCGTAACAGTGATCCATGACGGTCTTGTTACTTAGGACCTTTTGGAAAAGTTACGCGAGAATTCCACTCTCACAAAATTTGCGTACGAAGAAACAAGGCGGAACAACAAACATAAAATCCAGTGTGTATTTCCACGGCGTATCACCAGTGTTGGCAGTTCAGGGTGGAATATCCGGGGGGTAACAACATGTAAGAAATTATCAGGGTGTATGATGTTTTTTTTTCTCAATTTCACGGCAAAAACATTGTTTAGTTTTTAGTGATGCATGATGTTAGATTTACACTGGTAACTATATGTCAAGCTAATACAATCACAAAGAAAATAGGAATATGTGAAATGGGATTAATTTTGTGGTCATCAAAATTCGGAAGCGGTTTTCTCGATATGGCGATTTTCGAATTCCGCCCTTTTCAAATGTTAGTCTAGCTATAATCTACAAAAAAAGCTGTAAGTTTTTGACAGTTACACAGAACATACACATATAACGATTTATTCCCAAAGTCAGAACCATTCATTGTAAAAATTTTAAATGCTTTCCAACTTTGTAATTTACAGCTTTCTTTAGGGCTTTCTAAGCATTTCAATATTTAGACCTATTACATAAACACAAACCATGATGGTTTAATCAAACGATTCAATACCGTAAAGGCTCGAATTAGGAAACTTAGTTCACAAAGCCGGACACTTTTAAAAGTTGATTGTCAATTCCTACCATGCTCTCTGCATCTCAACTTGAACTACCTATAGACAATCGATAGCATCTAATCAATTCTCTTGCCGTATTTTCTTTTCATCCTGCAGTGATATCAAGGCGGGCAACATTCTGCTGACCGAGCAAGGTGTGGTGAAGCTGGCCGATTTCGGCAGTGCAGCCATCAAATGTCCCGCCAACAGCTTCGTGGGGACACCGTACTGGATGGCACCGGAGGTTATACTGGCGATGGACGAAGGTCAGTACGATGGCAAGGTGGACGTGTGGTCGCTCGGCATTACCTGCATCGAGCTGGCGGAGCGGAAACCTCCCTACTTCAATATGAACGCGATGTCTGCGCTGTATCATATTGCGCAAAATGAGGCTCCTTCGCTACAGGTGGGTTGGTGTGGACGTGTGCACACAGTGCGGCAGGTCATAATAACTAAGATGTACGTTTTTGCTCTATGTTTTGCAGGCTCCAGACTGGTCCGATATTTTTCGGAGCTTTGTGGATTTTTGCTTGAAGAAATCCCCGAACGAAAGGCCAAATTCCAGTAAACTGTTAACCCATTCTTTCATGACGAGGATACGATCGCCAAATGTACTGATTGATTTAATAGCGAGGTTCGTATATGGGTAAGGGTATACTAGCTTTTTATGGCGTTCTTATGTGTTTTCTTTCTTTTCCAGAACTAAAGCTGCCGTTAGGGAATTGGACAATCTGAATTATAGGAAGATGAAAAAGATCCTAATGGTGGACTCTTGCGAGACGGAAAGTAATGTCGGCGATGCTGAAGACACTCCGGATGAGCAGATTGGTGGTGATAGCAGCAAGAGTAACAGTATAACCTCGGAACATTCGTTACATTCGGTGGACCAGCACGGAGGTGTGCTGCGAAATGCATCCAGGCATCGGATGCCGGCGCCTGGTTTGCCTCCGATGCATAACAACAGTATGAACAATTCGGGCGGCCGAGATGGTCTGATGGTGGGTGATGGCCTGAACCGGTTGAGTCTGGGCGTGAGCGGAGGAAGTGGCGGCAGTGGCATGGGTAGTGGAGGCCTTGGTGGAAGTGGATCCGGATCCGGCAGTATGGGTGCTAGTATTGGGTATCAAAATTCTTCATCTAGTCCCGTTGTACCTCATCATCATCCGCATCATAATCACGTGTCGCAGGCGGCAGCGAATGCGGTTGCCGAGCATGGTGCCAACAATTTTGCTACTATTAGGACTACTAGTATTGTGACGAAACAGCAAAAGGAACATATGCAGGTGAGTGGATTCGGTTGTTTCAGCGTAGTTAACTTGCTGTGGTGAGCGAATTGCGAATATTTATCGTAAATTTCCCATTCAATCAGGAGGAAATGCACGAGCAAATGTCCGGCTACAAGCGAATGCGCCGGGAACATCAAGCAGCCTTAGTGAAACTAGAGGAAAGGTGCAAGGTCGAAATGGAACAGCACAAAGGAGCCTTGGACAAGGAATATGATCTGCTATTGCATAGTTTCACTAGGGATTTAGACAAACTATCGGTAAGGATGATCCATATAGTCGGCAAACTGCTTAACTTACTTCTCTTTTTGTGAATCTTAACAGGGAAAGCACCAACAAGAAATCGATCGTAGGATGAAGCAAAACACCGTTGCCGAAAAGAAACTTTATAAGGAGATATCAACTCGACAAGAAGGCGATCGCAAAGCGTTCGATATGCATAAAAAGAAAGAGTATAAAGCCAACAAGGAACGCTGGAAGCGAGAGCTATCGATGGACGATTCGACTCCGAAGCGGCAGCGGGATGCTACTCTTCAGTAAGATGCCTTATTTGATCACTTCTAAGAACGATTGTTTAACCGTCATTCGTTTTCAGATCCCAAAAGGATAATCTGAAGCAAGCGGAGGCTCAAGAAGAGCAGCGGATGCTGCGAGTGCAGAAGAATTACATCGATCTAGAGATGCGCAAGTTCCGAAGGAAAAAGATGATTCTTCTGCACGAGCTCGAAAACCAGCTGCTGCGTGATGTAAGTTCAACATCTTATACCAACTCTGCGTATAAGCATGATTCAAATTGACGTTTTTTCCCCCTGCCGCAGGAATTGAGTAAAAAACAACAGCAGCTGGAGCAAGCGCACGGCATGCTTATCAAACACCACGAAAAGACTCAGGATTTAGAATACCGTCAGCAAAAGAGTGTTCACGCTCTCCGCGAAGAGCAGGTATGTACCGAACCGGTTGACATCGATGTGAAATGAAATATTAATTGACCTCCTCGTACGATTAGATATCAAAACAACACGAAAGTGAGCTGCGTAACCAAAAGGAGTACATGGATCGGGCCGAGCGGGAGCTGTTGAGGCGGCATGCGCTGGAACTCAAACAGCAACCGAAGAGTCTGAAGGTAATTTGGTTTGACCTTGATGTAGTGACATTGATTCTAACTGATTTTTGCAATTGTAGCAAAAAGAACTCCAAATACGCAAACAGTTCCGAGAGACGTGTAAAACCCAGACGCGTCAGTACAAGGCACTGAAAGCTCAAATCCTGCAGACAACGCCTAAGGAGGAACAAAAAGCTGTGATAAAGAAATTAAAAGAGGAGCAACACCGTAAGTTAACGTTATTGGGTGATCAGGTAGGTTCTGCTTCTTGAGTTTTAAACCGAGAAAGACATTCCTAATGGAAATACCCGTCCTCACTTTCAGTATGAACAAAGTATTGCCGACATGCTGCAGAAGCAGAGTTTGAGGTTAGACGAAAGTCAGGAAGTCGAATGCCATCAGCTGAAGGATCGGCTACAGTACGAGCTGGAGATCCTCACAGCTTACCAGAGCAAAAATCGAATGCAAGCGCAGGCGCAGCGGGACCGCGAGCGGAAGGAGCTCGAGGATCGCGTCAGCGTGCGGCGAGCACTGCTGGAAAGTAAGGTGAGTGCGAACAAGAAAATGGTCTGTTGGAGTATTCCAGCAATTCTTAGAATACTATCTGGAAACGGATACACACAGAGAAATGATGTTTAAATTCAAATAGATATATTTTTGGCCATGGCCTAATATATTTTTGGTATTGATTCAAATATATTATTCGGTTTATTCAAAGAAAATTATTTTTGAATCAACAAACCGATTGTAGAGTCAATAATTTGTTCGTTGATTCTAAAAACCATTTTGTTGATTCAAAAATATGTTTTGTTGCTCTTTGTAAAAAAATGTTTATGCCAAACGGCATTGTGCCAAATGACTGTATACCAAAGGGGTAGTCCCCAAACAATACTAGGTTTGTTCCCGCACTTGCTTTTTGGCTTTTGCTGTAAGTTGCTGTAAGACCATACTACAGGTATCCCCGCTTTGCGCGGTGGGTGGTGCCGTCTACCCACCGCCATTTCTCAACAGTCTCAACCAAATGAGCTGACTTTTTGTGAGTGTCGAGTTTGTGGTTGGCCCTAATCACATACACAAAATCAGCTCCATTGGTTGCAATATTGTTGTGAAATGCACCACCCATCGCATAGATCTGGGATTCCCGTATTATTTTTTTTACAGCAACTTACAGCAAACGAAAAAAAGCAAGTACGAGAACAAACCTATTGCCAACGAGATCATGATCAGAGTCATCTATAGTCTCCCTGAAAGTCGGAAGATCATTTCCTTTTAATTCGTTCAGTTTGAGCATGAAACGAAACCTATCGCAGTCCGGCGAACATTATGCCTACTAAATTGTTGCTTGTTATTCAACAACGAGCGAGCAACCATGTACAGAATTTAATAGATTTAAGGGACGTCTCTCTAATCTTCAAGTAAAATCTTATCTTATGTTTTTTCAGATGGAAACTGAACTGCAGCAGTTCAATCAGGAACGCGCAGAACGGATTCGCTTACTCCGGGAGCGACACGAGAAGCAACTGGAGGCGTTCGATGAGGAATCGGCACGGATGGGCTTCAGGTTAGTACGCCACCCATGCGTTAATGTTTTCCATTTATACATTAAATTCTGACTTGCTCCCACATTTTGCAGTGCACTGGCGTTGGCCGAAGCATCGAAGGAAACCTACCCGGACGAGGAGGGTAGCCTGTCGGGGTCAATGCTTAGCTTGGCTCACAGTAACAGCTCTACCAGCTTCCCGGCGGGTTCACTATAGCATAAATCTCGTTTTATGCAAACGTTGTCGAGTCATAATTCTATGTAGGTGAAGTCGAGTGGAACAGAAAGAGAGCAAAGCAAAGCGCTTGCAATAAGGGACGAATACGACGCATGGAGTACTGAGTATGTGTAATTTTAATAGTTCCGTATACAGTAGACGTACGGGGGTTATGTGGTGGCGAGTGCCCGGGGATGGAGCTGCACCCCTATTTATGAGCTCTGCATACCTTATGTTATGCGTTTTTACCACTAAAATGTTTATGAATTTTTTGCCGTGTACCTATCAATGTAGAAATTATGTTGCTTATTTTCTGTCCTATGTATTACTTTTGTTTATCGAATTTCTTACCGGAAGTGAACACAGAACGTATGATCAAACCTTCTAAATTCTAGTCAATTTGTTTCGTTTCATCACTTGGCAGTATGAGGCATCAGTTAGCCAATGTCGTTGACCATAGGAACTGGGGATAAGCGTTTCTGTAGCGACGGACGAACGGAGGTCGGTCGGTCCCTCGATAATACTCATGTTAAATTCGAATGATTCCTAGTTGCTAAGGTAGGCCCATTTGATAGCGTAACCGCGCGCGCTTGTAAGTTCATTTGTAAATAGTCGTACATTTGCTTGTAATACCAAACTTGTTCTAATATACAATACTGCTTTTCATAGAGGATGAAAACAAAAATAAACCTGGGTCGAAGTAGAGTCGTGCGTTTGGGGTGCGTGTTTCCCGTTCCTTTCGGTCCCGTGCTACTAACTGATGATCATACTTTGCATTTTGCTCATTCATCGCGATTTTTACGTTTGTCTATTTTCCTATTCTTTTTGACACTGTACCTATTCACTCTTTCGCTTACTTCGTAACATTCGGTGGATTGTTTTGTTGTTGTCGGGAAGCTTATTACTGTTCATCCAATGTCTTTACGGTTATTAAGTTCGGACGATGCCAGTCCAAATCTGTGGGTCTCAAAATAATTCAGATATGCTTTCATAGGAGCATTGGCTCTACCCCGGTTGCCATAACAGCCGTTTTGAATAATGGTCGTTAGGCATAAATGTGGAGAACCACTAATTAGTTATATTTAGGCCTATTCTGCAGTTGATGATAAAAAGAAGGGAAAATAATCCTTTAATTGGAGTTTACCCTTCTTTTGAACTTGAGCTATTCTTTTTTTTGTGTTTATGCTAAACGGTAGTGATGCCAACTTGCGATTATACCAAACGGCATTATGTCGTTGATAGACGTTTGCGCGATATTGACAAAATTGTTTTTCACATAGTCACTGATAGACTTAAAGCTCAAAAAAAAAAAAAAAAAACCTTTGTCAAAATCTCATTATGTTTTACGTTAATGACAAAAGTTACCCTGGTAACTAAAAGTGTAATTTCGTGCATTCTGAGTCACATTATTGTTATCAAACCAGTTCAGGACGTAGATGCTTGTTCACTTTAACGGCTCCATGCAATTGTTTGATCAAGTCGTTTAATTTCGTTTCTACAAATCTGCACATGTTCGTCACTGACGGCATTATTATCAATGACAATCAAATGAGTGACGAGATTTTGCAGCACTGGCTGGGGACTTCCAAGAGAAGCCTTGGGGCCTAGTAAGATATGCCTTGGGGATAAGGAATAAGGGACTTGCAAAAGAAATCTTGGAGACTAACGAGAGCAGTCCTGGATACTTGCAAGAGAAGCACTGGAGACTTGCAAGACAAATCAGGGATACATACAAGAAAAGTCCTGGAGACTTCCATGGTAAGCCCTGGAGGAGGCTTGCAAGAGAAGTCCTGATGATTTCCAAGCAGTGCGCAAAACATTCAGGTTCAATGAGTCATTTTCATATGAATATGAACTGCCATCTGCCTCATCATTCACTGCCTTGTGAGAGTTTGAATGATTGAGAATTAAACGAGTCACTGACAGCCGAGCACTCAGTCAGTAGCTCAGTCAGCACGTTTATTCTTCCGTGTGGGTACCCAATCCTTGTTTTGAACGACTGAGCGTACATTTTCTATGGAAAAATACCTCAATTACATGCTGTGTGAGCTATGTGAGCGTAGGCAAGCGGTGTGAGTCGCCTGTTCGTGAGTGACTGAATGTTTTTGTGCTCTTTCATTGCCACGTCCTTTACCGTTTGGTACAAACGGTCTGAGCAATGGATTGAATAGTGTAGCGCTTTCACACTCAGCTTAAGCAGGCAATATTTTTACGCTCTGTTTCCAAGATCTTGAGCCGATATGCTACCGATTGTTTTTCTGCATTCAGTAGCACTGTAAGCATTGTTGTGAAAACCGCCTTGGTTCGTTTGACATCCGTTTAATTTGATGGACCATCGAATGCCCGAACCCGCATTGTTCCTCTAAAAGTCTCACATAGATGTGCATTTGAAACAGCTTGTAGAGCGAGGAGAATGATACTTATGACTGGTAGCTTGACGGTACCTAAAGGCATGTATTTTGAGCTCAAGTTGATTCCAGACAATTTTTAAGAGCACCTCGAAACGCGGGATCTTCATGTTGTGTGATATTAATTAGGAATTAAATTAGCGTATCACAATGTGTGAGGTGTTCTACGACGGACTGCAGAACAAATGTTTCCTTTGCAAGGCCGAGGGTCACCAGGTGGGATTCATGTCAGGGTGGGATGAATAGAAGAAATCAGTTTCAATGAATCTGCGTCATCAGAGGAAAGCAAAAATAGTAGTTCAAGCAACCAGAATATTATAAGAGGCTCTACAAAACCAGAAGAAATCGATGTTAAAGCAATCTATCATCACTATCCATACATGAATATGTCATGCTCACTGGCACAATTTCAAGGCCAACAATTGAAATGGCCTTAACTCCATTTTGTAAACAAACCTTGTAAGGCCATTTTCTCGCTAACCGAAACCTTCATTCGCAAACAATCGGGTAGAGGAGAATTTTCCCTACCTGTTCATAATGTTGGTTTGCCTTTGCGGACTTCGGTTCGCGAGAAAATGGCCTTACAAGGTTTGTTTACAAAATGGAGTTAAGGCCATTTCAATTGTTGGTCTTGATTTTTTATGAGACAATGAGTCTTATCAAACAAACATTATGAGAGAAAAGCTTCTTTGCAGCTTAACTCTGATAATACCGGTTTTTGAGAAAGTCGTTGCCGACCGTATCGATTTATGCAGCGGAAGCATAATTGTCCCATGTTCATTGTAGTTAATTCCATACAACAAGGGACAGTTACACGTCCACCGGCAGCCTTCAAGCTTTCTGACAGAACTGCACTTAACTGACTTAACTACACAATCCGATTTCCCGGAGAAGATTTGGAACACTTTCTTGCGACCAATGATCGAATGATCGAAATCGTTCGAGACGAAAGTAAGTACCTAGCGTGGCATTGCTCCGGATAACGACGCTCAATTCGGTATAATAGTTTACTGATTTGCATCAAAGATATCTCGTCTAAAAGACCAACCACCCTTCGTGAGTTTTCTTATAAACGTGAGGACAAGCCTGTTTTAGTGGTTAGCATCCATGCCTCTCACGCTAAAGGTTAAAATCTCATCCCTGGACTAGTAACGAATGACCTATAATACAAACACAAAAATCTTGCAAACGCTATGATAAATATACGATCTCGCCATCTACAACTCAAAGGTTAAAGCTCTACCTTGACAAAGTTACCAGTCTTTTTAATATGTTGTCTTCGATTGGCATTTTAATAACACAATGTTCATGAATTGGAACTTTTGAATTACTATACACTATACGGAATTAGATGGCATTATCCAGATACATACCATTATGATCATTACCAATGAATAGTTCATCGTCTGTAATTATCAATACTGAAGTTTTACCTCCGAGCAAACATCAGGGCTCTCGCCACCCAGCAACCGTCGCGTAGAGTGGGTGAAGTGAACAAGGCGAGTTTCTATACTTTATAAATAATACTACTTCGCTTATTACATAATAGTAGAACACAATATGAGTAAACCGTACGGACCTAGATATTCGATAGGAGGGAAAACTTCTGTTGTGTTTCATAGTTTTCCAGTGTCAACAAGATATATCGTTAACGAATATCAATAGGAGCACTCTGCGCCGGCGGTCAGTGATTCCGCATTTGGTGGATAAACGACCGCGCTGGATAGATCACAATATTATTAGACGTTAACTAGAACGAGAGAAAGAAGTGAACAGAACTAATTTATATTTATACCTAGTATTGTATCATTTCCGCTCTATACAACAGTTCCCTCGTGTTTTTTTGTACATTTATCTTAGTTTAATTGTGTAATTAACACAACCATACTCGTTTAATTTGGCACAGAAGATTTAGACCGAGAAACCAGAGAGCAGATTTGTTAATATCAGCATCAGAGGTATGTGAAGCAACTGAAATTAGTTATTTAATGTTTTAGTTTTTAAATACAACGGAAGTAAAAATCAATTTATTAATAAACAATAATGCAATGTAATTCTCCAATTAATGAAAAAAGTAACGACTAGATAAACTAATTTAATTCAAGCAAAACACACACACGAAAAGTATAACAACCGCTGCATTCTGTAAACGAAAAAAATGGAAACAAAAATTAATGCTAGAGCTTTTTTACATTTACTGAAACAGTGCATAAATTCATAAATAAAGCAGATAAATATTGCTAAATAACAAATAACGGAAGAAACCATCAGTACTGCTAATAGAAAGCGAAAAAGTAAGTGAGACAAGGAGAGAACGCGGAATTTGTATGAGCGAGAAGTAGAGATTTTTTAAACAAAGAAATGAAATAAAAAATATTCGTTTCGTTATGAAACAGCAAACCATGATTAATGAAGGAATAATATTATAATTCAACAACACTAACTAACGAGTAAAAGTTCACAACAATGTTTTCACCCACACAGACACATACACACACACATGCTATTATAGTAATGTAACACAAAAGTGCATAAACTAAGAATAATTAGCAAAGCAAATATAAGAAGAAGAAAAATCACATTCATAAGGACAGATAGGAAAACAAAGAAGTCACACATGCAAGTTTTCGCCCGCACCCCTCTTGAAAATGCAGGAAGTTAAAAAAAAGAAAAAAAAAACAAATTGAATACCGCTAGAAAAAGAAACCAACGCTGTTTAGGAGCAATTTGTATATGTGTGTAGCAGAGAGCGAAAGCGAATGTGAAAGAGAGAGAGAGAGAGAGAGCTAGTGGTAACGATGTATCTAAAATGCGAATGCGATTGTGTTGCTATTTCGAAATCTTGGAACAGGATAATAAAAAAACTAAACCAATTTAAATAATCCAGACACGGTACCGATGAATGGTATTCTAATTTGATTGAATCAGTAGTGAGATATCACATTCAGGATACCTGGCTAGGATTGATGTGGCCAGTTTTAACATACATATTTTTATCATGTGCAACCAGTAATTTGAAAAAAAAAATCTTGTTCGATCTCAACCGTTGTCGATGATGTTGACAGCAGCAGTTGTACCTCTCTAGTGCGTACGTCAATAGAAGTTATCGTTTCGATGCCTTTTTTTTCTCAATTCGACAATTCAAACTCAGCTGTATTAAAAATACTATGCGGAGTTTGATGACATTGAATACCTACCTACTTTTACAATTCAGAAAAAATCTATCCCTCTCGATCAGTTTCCCATACAATTTGTATTTGTATTGAGAATCCGCTTCAAAAGGAATCCAGAATAGGGGTGAATGGGTTGTAGGTCATTTGGCTTAAAGTCGCTTGGCATGATGGTCGTTTGGCAATTTTGAAAAAAAAAATCGGTGAAGATTTTACTTTAAAAAAAAACACGAACAACTAGTTTTACAGTCCTGTGTTAATAAATATATATAAATAACTATGCGTGTGAAGAATAAACACACTATGGGCACAGACAAACAGACATAATACTCACAATCACATACTGCGCCACTGAAGCGTTAAGCAAGTCACCTTATTTCGAACTTGTCAGTGATGCCAGTTCTTTTTCAGGTAAATTTAGTATATGACAGCTCTTGAGAATGATAAGAGGGCCAAGGCATCCCACAGGAGACACATACCACTTACTAATCGGACGAATACAGAGTTGAGGAATATTAAATCCAAACAGCTGCACATTGGTCATTCCACTTGTTGTTTAATTGTTACAAGGCTATTTTGATGACGTTTTACTTGCTGATAGTTATTATAACACCCTTATAACATATTATAACACGGTAGTCTGAACAA